TTGGTTGTTCCAGCTTGCAGGACTGGCCTAGGGTAATTTTTATAGGGGGTTTTAATTATATTTTAATTAGACTATACTTAAATATTTCTTTTTAATTAATTTTAATCCTGTAATTGTCATTTGTGTATTTTTAATCGATTGTCAGCCGCCCTGAGTCCGCAAGGAGAAGGGCGGGATATAAATCTAATTTAATAATAATAATAATAATGACAGTTTTAGCAGTCCCAGTCGCTATCGTTAAGCGAGGACTTCACATGACCAGTCAAGGTCACAGATCATGTGACTGCAGGATGCTGCCACCACCATAATTATGAACTGGTTGCTGGGCACTCAAATGGCAGTCACAAGACTGCAGGCACACTGTGAAAACTGCAGTTTGGGGGACTGGCATACGTTTCTTGTTCAGTGCTGTTGTAACGTTCATCAGTCACCTAATTAATGGTCGTTAACTGAGAACTATCTCTTTTTTTATAAATGTTTTATTAATTTTCTATTTTCACAAACAAGTGCCCAATAGACAATGTGATGACTGAGTCCATTAGTGATTCCTTGGTACATATAAGCTTCTTCAAATTAAGTCCGATATTACACCCTCCAGTACATCCTCTCTTCTGATAATAACCATTTTTCCACACTAAGCAAATACAATTCTTATTGTTGTTAATAAATATACAATTGCATATCAACATTTGTTACATTTTTCTAATAATGTCAATAATATCAGTTTAAAATATCTTTTCTAACCAAAGTATATCTTAATTGTACTTGCACTCAATTTCCATTTATTTAGTCCATATCCTATTTTCGCGTTTTTCAATTTTTAATTTCCCATCCATGTTCAAAGTATCCCAATCATTTATAATTTCAAAACAAGTTATATTTGGGTAATCAAAAGCATCCCTTATTTCCCTTTTCATACCAAGATATGATTTTCTGATTACAAATCCTATCTAGCTAGTTATAATAATACTTCTATTTCTAACAATCTATTCTTAACCATATTCAAACATCTAATTAGTAATATAGCATCCCCTCTAAGAGGTCAAAGCTTCTGTTTCCTTCAATCTTACTCTAGCTTTCTTCCTTTGCCAACTAACTTTCCAAGTCAATGCATTTGGATCATCAAATAATTCTTCCTCTATTTTTGTATATATTATTTGAAACAAGAGAAACAATTTAATTAAGGTATTTTTGGAAGAACTAGCCCGTTGATGTTCATTAAACAACTGAGAACTATCTCTGATTATTTTTCTTTCCCTTTTTTTTTCAGCTGTCCATGCCGTCAATCAAAACCCAACATATCCTCCATTTCCAGAAGGAATGCAAATGGCAATATTTGGTGAGTGTTGATTTGTCCATGGCCAGATTCAGTTACAACCCTGTCCCCACCACTTGGAGGCTGCAATCCTGGATTCTAATTTTAAAGAGGAAGTAAACTTTCTGGCACCAGCAATAGAGAAATAATGTAATTGATGTATTGAAAAGACACACAGGCTTTGCTGTAACCTGCATGCCTGGCTGGCTAGGGAATTCTGGGAGTTGAAGTCCACAAGCCTTAAAGTTGCTGAGGTTAGACACCGCTGACATAGAACATCTTAACAATTCACTTATTCACTTATAGCTTTTCTTTTTCTTGGCTTCCTTCACAGGCATGGGATGTTTCTGGGGAGCAGAAAAAATGTTTTGGAAGCTGTCGGGGGTCTTCTCCACACAGGTGGGATTCTCAGGAGGCTTCACCGCCAATCCTACCTACAAAGAAGTCCTCAGCGGTAAGTCTTCTTGAGAAGAATTCTGGGTGGAATCTCTTTCTCTGTGAAGTTATGTCTGATCAAAAGACTTGTACATATGAGAGTCACAGTCTTAGGTATAGCTATCTTTATATCCTGAAACAAAGGAAATAAGCTCACTTGCTTGATTTTCTGATTTTCAATTTTATACTGGTGTGGTTGTGTACTGCATACTTAACCAAGTCAGTTTCAAACTAGGATTGTGCAGAGCTTCAGATTCAATTCCAGAAAATATGCTGCTGAGCTTGTAGAAGGGGCATCACCTGCTATTTCTTAAAGCAGCTACATCTTTTAGATAGATAGACAGACAGACAGACAGACAGATAACCTTTATTGTCATTTTTTACTGTGGGCACAACAGCACACATTAAAAATGAAATTTAGTTGCTTGATTACATCATGTTGTACAAATCTAGCAGTTACATTTGAGTAACACACTAACCATGGTTAGTGTGTAATTCCAAGCATGGTTAGTTTTAATTCTAATAGGGTTTTATGTTTGTATATAGTTTAACTTTTTGTACTGTACATATCCAACCATTGGTTCATTTAACATTTAAGGTCAGATCTTTATTCTGGGGAATTCTAGCATAATTTGGAAAATGCTAGAATGTTCCATTCCCCTTTGGACCATGATGAACCTCCAGCTAGACTGTGCAGTTCCTGGATCAGCGAGTTTTGTACCTCCTTAGAGGCAATGTTGCTTTTTATGAACCTCAGGGTGGAACACTTGTTTCTTCTCTGGCCTTCCCCAGGCAGATGCATCTATTGGCAGAGTTAATCCTCCCTCCCCAATCTGGATCCCACAGAAATCAGAGCAGGCAGTTTTGCAGCTTAACTGCAAAAGCATTTTAAATGTGGGGTGTGGAAGATTATCTGTCTGAAAGAAATATTCCCCACATCTGTCATCTACATTCTGGGTATTAAGAAAATATTGAGGAAGGAGGGACAATCTCTTTTGCTTGCTGACACACAAATACACTCACTCCTCACTCACTCACTTACCTTTCTCTCCAAAATAATTAATCTGTCAAATCTGCAGATTGCACTTATATCTCCCAGCCTTTGTCTCATTTTTAGATAAATCAGGGATACACTGATTGGGGTGCTGGAAGCAACAAAGTGGGGAGACAGATTTTCTCCAACAATCCTATAAGCCAATGGTCCCCAACCCCCGGTCCGCATCCCAGTACTGGTCTGTCACCCATTAGGAACCGGACCATGCAAGCGGCAGGCAAGCGTGTGAGCACATGAAGCTCCATTTGTGGAAGAGGCAGGTGTGCGCACAAAACCATCCCCTCTCCTCCCCACCCCACTGCTGCTAGTCCGCAGAGCCAGAAAGGTTGGGGACCACTGCTATAAGCTCTTGTGAATGGAGCATGGTATCCTTAATTATAGAGTGACCAAGCACTGTGTACATAAATGTCCTGTATGCAGGTAGTCCTTGATTTACAACCACAGCCGGGAGGATAATTTCTGTGGTTGAGCAAGGCATTTATTAAGTCAGTCATGCCCAATTTTACAATTTTTTTTTTTGCCAAAGTTGTTAAGCAAATCACTGTAGTTCTCAAATGGGCTGCATACAGGGCCCAGCACAGTAGGCATGGCTGGTTGAACATCACCTGCTCCATCCCCACCTCCTTTTTCCCTCCTAATTACCATAGGAGGGTCAGCAGCCTTGCTTGAGCAAAATTAACTAGAAACTGCTCCAGGGAAATGCATCTCTGATGAGAATTTCTAACTCCATGGGGGAATCAGGGTACAGCAGTGAAAGGAGAAATTCCTCCTTTAGACAGGAGATATTAATCTAATGGGGATGTGTCAAGTGTTTCCAAGTGGGATGAAGGCTCTGGATTAACCCCTGCAGTGCTGCTTAATATGCGGTATGAATATTATCTGCTTCAAGAAGCATCCCAAGAAGTAGGTTGTGGTCTACTTGATGACATGATAGCAGTGTTCCAATATTCGAGGGGCTGCCACAAAGTAGGGGGGGGGGGTCAATCTATTTTCCAAAGCACCAGGAGGAAGGAGAAGCAGCAATGGATGGAAACTAATCAAAGAGAGAAGCAACCTAAAACTAAGGAGAAATTTCCTGACAGTAAGAACAATTAACCAGAAGAACAACTTGCCTTCAGAAGTTGTGGGTGCTCCATCACTGAGGCTTTTAAGAAGAGATTGGACAGTCATTTGTCTGAAATGTTAAAGGATCTCCTGCTTGAGCAGGGGGTTGGACTAGAAGACCTCCAAGGTCCCTTCCAACTCTGTTATCCTGTTAAGGCATGTGGTTCATTTGGGCTTTCAAGTAACGACTGTTTGGAAGGGCAGAGCCCAACAGTACAGTGACAAGAGTCTGTATTTGCTGATATTAGTCCTGTTTTATAGATGAACTCCAACTCCCACTGAACAAGTTCACATTACAGGTAGTCCTCGACATACGGCCACAATTGAGCCCAAAATTTCTGTTGCTAAGCCAGACAGTTGTTAAGCAAGTTTTGACCCATGTTACGACTTTTCTTGCCATAGTTATTAAGTGAATCACTGCAGTTGTTTAATAACATGGTAGTTAAGTGGATCTGGCTTCCCCACTGACTTTGCTTGTCAGAAGATCACAAAAGGGGATCACATGACCCCAGGACACTGCAACCTTCATAAATATGAGTCAGTTGCCAAGTGTCCGAATGTTGATCATGTGACCATGGGGCTGCTTCAACGGTCATCAGTGTGAAAAACGCTCATAAGTCCCTTTTTTCAGTGCTGATGAAACTTTGAATGGTCAGTAAATGAACTGTTGTAAATTGAGGACCACATTGCCTTAAATGAAAAAAAACCCCATCAAGTACTTTGGGAAGAAGCAGTAAAAGAAATTACCCTCAACTTTCTACCTAGTTCTTATAGCTTCTCATAGTTCCTATAGTTTCAGTACTGGGAACTGATTTATTTAGTTAAGGAATATATAAAGCCACTCAACTCATAAATTTGGACCCTGAGTGGCAAAATCATTCATTTTTTAAAAAAATATCAAACCATATAAATCCAATACACCAAAGCACTGTCAGATACACAACTGAGCTGAAGCAATCATTTTCACAGTAAGATGAGCTCACGTCCCATCCAGCCCAGTGCACAGGAGAAATGTCAAGTCTTCTCAGCTCTTCTGAGGCTAATAGAATCAGGGCCACTCGCACTTGGGGACCAGTATTCTCGTGGCTAAGCAAGCCATTTGTTAAGGGAGACACACCTGATTATATGACTTTTTTGCCACAGTTGTGAAGCGAATCATAAGTGAATCATGCAGTCATTAAGCAAATCCAGCTTCCCCCATTGACTTTGCTTGTCAGAAGCCAGCTGGGAAGTTGCAAGTGGCAATCACATGTCCCTGGGAAGCTGCAATCCTCATAAATACATAAATACATAAATACAGTTGTCAAATATCTGGATTTTGATCACAGGGCCATGGAGCTGCAGCGATGGTTGTGAGTGCAAGAACCGGTTGTAAGTCTCTTTTTGCACTGCTGTTGTAAATTCAGATGGTTGCTAAATAAATGTTTGTAGGTCAAGGATTCCCCTGTATGTTGCTTTTGTAGCACAGAGTATAATTTGCAAGACAGAAGGCTCAGCAGCATCTATTTAGCCTAATGACTCGGTGAATTTCCATTGGTTGCAACAACTGACAAGGCTCAAAGAAAGCCTGGGGTGATTTTTCTCCATTCTGTTTCCAGGGATGACAGGACATGCAGAAGTGGTCCGTGTAGTGTTTGACCCACAGAAAATCAGCTATGAAAAACTCCTCCAATTTTTCTGGGAGAACCATGATCCAACCCAAGGTAAAAATCTAGGGTCAGGAAAGGTGCAATGTGGGAAACCAATCTATTTACCTTGATTAATTATAAGCAGTATAAGCAAATCAAGAGGAATTACGTTTGGAAGCAATCCTAAAATAGCTTTGCTGTGTGGATGCCACTTCCAGAAGTCCATTCTGGGCCTGGGCAACAAAAAAATTAGCTACCGGTTCTGCCAAAATGATGCAAACTAGTTGAACCCCAGCACTCTACAATACCTTGCAGCATTTTGGACTATGGCCCCCTCTCATTCTTCCACCAGCAGGGCCAATTACAGAAGATTGTAATTTATAGAAGCTTGAACTATCAACAGCCATAGTGGCTGGGAAGAAAGAGAGTAGTAGACGGTTTTATAGGAAACAAGACTGGGCTGATTTTGTAAGAATCTAAGTTGACAATCGTTATTATAACAGTGCACTGAATAAGGACGAACATAATTTAGTATGTTTGATTAGTGTGTGTGTCTGTTCGCATACAATAGTCCATTCTTGCCCTCTTTTCATATCTGATTCTATGATTATATATTAATAGGATCCTAATATTATATTTTTAGATACTTAAGGATTGACGAACACTGTTATACCTGGATCGATTAAAGGCCTGTTTAATTTAAGCTTGGACAATTTATGGGTCTAAGTCCACATTCTGAAAAGAATCCTCTTGTGGAAGGAATCCTCTTCCTTCCAACTTCACCAGTAAATTTTCAGTAGCACAGTTGCTGAAAATCAACATGTGAAATACGTACCACACACCCCAAAATATTGAACTGCAGTTGTAAAAACCAGATTCAATCTTAATAATCAAGATGGTCCTCCTGATAAAAAGGGATTTCTTGTTCCACTTGCATGCAAAATATGCTAAATTGAGTTAGATCATGGGCTAATAATGAGAAGTTTTAGAGATGAAAGATTGCTTGCCGCTGGTTAATCTGAAAATCTGTAACGCAACAATGACACAGTTCTACAGAGATGCAATACCTGAATGGAAAGCTGCTTGGAGTATTTTTAATACAGGTAATCCTGACTCATGACCACAATTCAGCCCAAAATTTTAAGTGAGTTTTGCCCGACTTTACAACCTTTGTTGCCCTAGTTGTTAAGTGAATCACTGCAGTTGTTAAGTTAGTAGCATGGTTGTTAAGTGAATCTGGCTTCCCCCATTGATTTTGCTCGTCTGAGGGTCGCAAAAGGTGATCCCATGATCCTGGGACACTGCAACTGTCATAAATATGAGCCACTTGCCAAGCTTCCAAATTTTGATCACGTAACTGTGAGGATGCCACCCGTCGTAAGTGTGAAAAATGGTCATAAGTCGCTTTTTTCAATGTTGTTACGGTATTGTCACTAAATGAATTGTTGTAAGTTGAGGACTCCCTGAGCTCATTGAGTTGGGTTAATCTTCTTCATGCCATTTTTTTTTTCATTTGATTGCTGAGTCATTTGAGGGTTCTAGCCAAAGAATACCTAATTTCTCCAGCCTGACTCACTCCAGACTCCTGAGGCAGAGATTTTCTCTTAAGGAATCACATGCCCCTCTTGATTTTGTAAGCCAATCTCATTTTTCAGGCGACTGTACCTCTTTAAATGATTCCTTTAAATGGCTTCTCCTACCTCCCCACCAAGGCCACAAAAGGTGAAGCTCTTAATGGACCCTCTGCTGAGACAGGAGAGGTTCAGTTGTAAAGAAGGGGGGGCTGGGGATTTCTAATGTTTCTCCCCCCCTTTTTTTTAATAACCAGAGGAAGTGGAGGGGTGGAGGGCTGTTTGTAACCCACCTCACGTCAACACTGAGCAACAGTGGGGGGAGGGTTGAAGGCCTTAGGAGGACCAAGCATTTTTGTAATGAAGTGTAATTTTAATGAGGAAATTAGAATTCTCTGTGTGTTGCCGGCTGGGCCCTCCTCTGGGTGCGTAATGGTGTGTTTGTGTTTTAATGAGTAACGTTGCCAGTGTAGATGGCATATTAGGGAGTGAGCACGTGGGGAGAGAAGAATTCTGCCCCCCACAGTCATTATGTGTTAGATTTCAAAAGAAGATGCCTTATGGCTGAGGAGCATTGCTGACTGCTCTCCCCTAGTGACATTGTCAGATACAAAAGAAAGAGATAACATTTCCTTGAAGTCAAGCTTGACACCTGGTGACTTACATGGCCACATGTAAGTCACATGCAATTTTTCTTGCAATAACAAGGAAATGGGTCACCACTGCCTTCTCCTGAGCTTTTTCTTTTACATTGGGATTGTCTAGCCCAGGGGTAGGCAACCTTGGCTCTTTTATGACTCCTGGACTATGCTGGCTCAGGAATTCAGGGAGTTGAAGTCCATGAGTCATAAAAGAGTCAAGGTTGCCTACCCCTGGTCTAGCCTACAGTCCTGGGGTTTCGTAGTGCTCTCCCATTTCTGATGGTCTCTCATTCCTATTCAACCTTGTGTAGCTTTTTGAGGTCCAAGGTTGTGTAACCTTAGCTTATAAGCTCATGTAGAGCAATTGACCTAATTTCAAAGGACCTTTATAGAACATAGAATCAAAGAGCTGCAAGGGACCTCGGAGGTCTTCTAGTCCAACCTCCTGCTCAAGGCAGGAATCTTACCCCATCCCAATCAAAGTCTAGTCTATTTTTGAAAACCTCCAGCACCCATAGCCCCAGGAGGCAAACTATTCCACCGGTTAATTGTTCTCGCTGTCATAAAATTTCTCCTTACTTCATTGGATACACTGGATATGTTGGATCTTTTTTAACAAGTTATTTCTTGTCCTGCCCTCTGGTGCTTTGGAGAATGTCAATTCCCTCTTCTCTGTGACAACCCTTGACAAGTACTGGAAGACTACTATCATTTCCCCCCCCCCCTTATTCCCTCTCTTCAATAGGCTAGACATACCTAGCTCCCACAACTGTTCATCACCCATTTAGCCTCCAGACCTTTTATCATCTTTGTTGCTCTTCTCTGCACACTTTCCAGGATCTTAACATCTTTTTTGTATTGTGGTGACCAGAACTGAATGCGATATTCCTTAAGTGTAGTTTTACCAGTGCGGTATAAAGCGGTGCTATCACTTCTAATGATCTTGATGTTATCCCTCTGTTGATGCAGCCCAGGACTGCATTGGCTTTTTTGGCAGCTGCAGCACATACTCAAGTGGTGGTCCACCAGAACACTTGGTTCTCCCTCCCTCCCTCCCTCCCTCCCTCCCTCCCCCCCTCTCTCTCTCGCATCCAGCTTCTTGAGAAGGAAAATGAGAAACGCCTCACCCACTTATGGCTATATCCCTGCCCACTTCTCCAGCCATACCACTATTGGCAGTCCTGTCCTTCTTACTAAGACCCTCTCTTCAGGAGGCTTTTTTCATTCCTGCCCTCAAATCGAGATTAAGATTTAAGACTCTTCCACTGATAGTAAAGGGCTCTTTGACTGCAGTGCTCTGTCTGAGGATGGACCATCGGGGCTTATGAGTGAAGGATGCTGGTGGTTATAATCTCTTCTCTTGCATTATAACAGGGGTCTTCAAACTTGGCCCTTTTATGACTTGTGGACTTCAACTCCCAGAATTCCTCAGCTGGCGTGCCTGGCTGAGGAATTCTGGGAGTTGAAGTCCACAAGTCATAAAAGGGTCACGTTTGAAGACCCCTGCATTAGAGTGACTCCCACTTTACAGGTAGTCCTCGACTTAGGACTACAATTGAGCCCAACATTTCCACTGCTAAGCGAGACAGTTGTTAAATGAGTTTTGCCCCATTTTACAACCTTTCCTGCCACAGTTGTTAAGTGAATCACTGCCGTTCTTAAATTAGTCACAGGGTTGTTAAGTGAATCTGGCTCCCCCATTAACTTTGCTTGTCAAAAGGTCGCAAATAGTGATCACATGGCCCCGGGACACTTCATCTGTCATAAATATGAGTCAGTTGCTAAGTGTCTGAATTTGGATCAGCTAACCATGGGGATGCTGCAATGGTTGTAAGTTTGAAAAATGGTCATAAATGACTTTTTTCAGTACCGTTGTAATTTCAAAGGGTCATTAAATGAATGGTTGTAAATTGAGGACTACCTTTATTTGCTCTTGAAGGAAAAGGCTTTGCATGTTATTATAGAGACTGATTCCCTATTAGATGTTCATCTTTAGCAGCTAAAACAGCGAAGTCCTGTGGTATCTTATTATTGGGAGACAAATTTTGGATCAGGGTTCATCAAATTCAAGAGTGGATTGATCCTGAATGTGTTCATTTATAAATGTCATCGGATATCTTTTGTCACTGATATTTAATACTTGGAGAAAACCTGGAATTTTTTGCCGAAGTCATACTTATCTAGCAGATACATGAACTTTGTATGTTGTTCTGAGTTTCGTGGTCATTTTCCCAGGAAGGAAATATTGGATATGGATATCAAAATCAAATTAGTGAAATTAGATGATCTTTGAAATCTAGTCACTAAATTCGGGAGGAACTTCAGAATAAAAAAAAGTTACTTTCCATTAAATCAGACCACTGATCTATCTAGCACCACATTTTCTGTGTTTCCATTAATGAAATAGATAAAATGGGAATACTCAAGGATAATACCTTTTCTCCTGCGACTGTTTATTATTAAGGTTGAAGTGGGAAGAAGAAGATTCAGCAATATGAATCAATTTGGTCATCTTTTGTCTAAAAATATGCATTGTTGTGCCTCATTTTTTTTTCCAGGAATGAAACAATACAAAGACATTGGCACCCAGTATCGCTCGGCCATCTACACTATCGGAACAGAACAATTGGAATCTGCTTTAAGATCCAAGGCAATGTATCAACAGGTATAGGAGAATTGTGGATAGATGGGGGCAGGAATTTGAGTTCTTGGACTAGGGTGCTGTTGTTTATATGATTAAGGTTGACTCTTATTGGCATTAACTTTGTAAGGTGTATGAATTCCCATCTAAATGTAAAGGTTTCCCCTGTTCAGTTGAATCTGATTCTAGGGGGTGGTGCTCATCTCCATTTCTTAGCCAAGGGAGCCAGCCTTGTCCAAAGACGTTTCCGTGGTCATGTGGCCAGCATGACTATACACCAAGGCACACGGAATGCTGTTGCCTTCCCACCAAAGTGATGCCTATTTATCTACTCACATTTGCATGCTTTCAAACTGCTAGGTGGCCAGGAGCTGAGGCAAGTAATAGGAACTCACCCCATCATGCATCACTTGGGTCTCAAACCTAGGTTGTCAACTGTCTAGCTCAGGGGTCTTCGAACTTGGCCCTTTTATGACTTGTGGACTTCAACTCCCAGAATTCCTCAGCTCAGCATCTTTAACTGAGCCATCGTGCCCCCTGGCTTCCCATTTTAATGCTCTTAGTTGGAGATGTCACAACTGAAACCTGGGACTTTCTCCATGTAAAATGTATGCTGTACAACTGATTGTAGTTCCATTAGGAAGATCTAATATAAGTTATTCCTAAACCTGAAGTTTATTCATAAGGCTGATTGTTAGAGTTTAAGAGCTAAACTATTCAGTTGTGGTGACTATCTTCTCATCACACAGCTGACCCGGTTAGCAACTCTTCTGCAAAAAATAACTTCATGGACTTCATGCATGATCACAGCTGTCCCAGGCAAATGGAAAAATCTTTGTTAGGATCTCAGCTGCCACAGCATTTTAACTGTCAGGGTTACACATTTACAAGGGTCACCAGCAGCACAAAGTTCCACCTTACTTCTCCAATGTTCAGTTCTCCCATGCGGCCAGAATGGTAAGGATAAAAAGTAATCGTAGAGGCAGGATTCCTAAAACAAAAGCCTCATTTTTTCAGGATTGTTCTGAATCTACATTTCTCTGTCAGCAGGAAGAAGGGAGGGTTAACTCTCTCTTCCATGTTTGTCCAACATGGTTGACCAGGGAAGAATAGTTTAATTTGAAACAATAAAGAGCTATTCCAGGCTAAAACTGAACCCCTAGAGCCCACAGTTAAGCAGGTTATAGGTTTGCATAACATACCAATTCTGCTCATATCCCAGTTAAATATAAATATAACTAATTTCCCCCCTGAAATAGAAAGATTTATTTTTAATCAGTTTGTTTCTCTGTATGTGTGTGTTTGAGTCAATATTTACTCAAGTCTGTGCAATTTTCTTAGTGACATTTCTTGGAAATAGTCTTCCTAAGGGCTGAGAGAGAGAGGGATTGGTTCAAAGCCATCCAGCTGGCTTGGATGCCTAAGGGAGGACTATAACTCATGGACTCCCAGTTTTTAGCCTGGTGCTTTTAGCCAATGCACCAAACTGGTTCACTGCTGAATTGTTTGGATGTTAAGAAGTTTTTATAAGAGCCAAGTCAAAACCTCTTTCTTCTTCATTTCCCATGGGACTTGAATTCAATGCTCTGGAGTCTTGTTAGAGGAAGACAATCCTTCAGATATTTTCGCTACCATGTTGCCTCTTAATAATCTCTTTTTAAGGCTAAACGTATCTTAATGCCTTCAGCTTTTTTGTAGGAGCTCATTAACCAACAGAGGTTTGGAGTGGCAGTCTAATTATGCCAGGAAGGTATTGTTCCTTGCAAGCCATGTTTTCAGACAAGTTTCGTTTTTACAGGAGCTGCTACTTATGCTTTAAGAAAATAATATAGCTCTTAATCTCTAATGCCCTAAAGTGCTCTGGACTCAGGGCCAATCTTGTCTGCCAAGCTGTCTAGGACTGTAATTCTCCTAATACGCAGATGCTGGTTCAGAATTAAATTGGGAGACTAAGATGGACCATTTCTGGCTTTTTTTTGCCTTCATCAGTTAGCCATACCCTTTATGGGATTCGAACCTGGGCAGTTATACATACTAGGCAGTGATTTAGCCACTAAGCCACAGGTTCTCTTCCCCTCTTTGCCAGCAAAGTCAAGGGAGTAATTATAGGGAAGCCAGAAATGGTCCATCTTAGTCTCCCAATTTAATTCTTTACTCTTTGTCAGAAAAAAGAAATTTGGATATAAAAATATTTCGCAGTTGCGACTTGAGCCTGCTCTATGCCCCTAGTTGGGGGCGGCAAGGCAAGAGATATTGTAAAAAGAGTAAACTGCAGTATGGCAGTTGAAAATGTCAAGGTGTTCACAATCAGACCGTCTTGGGTGCGTCCATGTTGTGTCCAAATAATCACGATCACCAAGAGTAGATGAAATGTTTATAAACAATTAAAAAGTTTAAAAACAATTTAAAAGCAATAAAACATTTAAAATTATCGGTAACCGAGCTTTCGTCGGACTCTCCCGACATCATCAGGGTTGCTGAGGCGGTGTTTGGGAGGGTTTATATACAATTCTCACATGCCTGCATCCGGCTGCGTGAGCGCGTAACCGGGCCCCGGTATACGCGCTCCTGCGCGGTGCCTGTTTTCCCTTTACCCGCGTGTAAGCGTCTTGCCGTCTTTCCCTGTTTGTTGCTATGGGGTCCCTGGATATCTTCATCAGGGATCATCTGGGGTTCTTTCTTGCACCTTTCACCCATTATGGTCCTTTCATCCTTCCCCTCTAATCCATCCGTTCTTTCTCCCTCATTCGTTTCACCCTTAATCCCTCTATCACTTTCACAATCTCTCCCGTGTGTATTGGCTTCAATTCCATTCTCCTTCATGTTGCTATCGCCCCTTCCATTCAACTCGCGGGGGATCCGGGGGTCCCCAACGGGCCCTCGATCGACCCCTCTTTCACCGGGTCCCCCCATCGAGTCCAGGTTAGTCCCTTCCCCTCTCCCTCCAATACTGACGTTGCATGTGTTTCGTGTTTGCCTACATAATTTTTTTTTTAAGAAATTTTATTTATTTTTTCCATCATAAAAAACAATCATAGGTAAACACAACCAATCAATAACCCCCCCCCCAGAACTTCCCAAACCTAATCCCAGGATAATATTCATATAAAAGTAAGCAAATACTAATATCTCTAACTCCACAAAATATCTTAATCTACAAGAAAAGATAGAAGTAAACAAACTTAAAAAAATCTAAAAACCTAAATTATATTCTACCACTCTATGTTTCTTTTGGATATAAACAATCCATCTTCTCCATATTGATAAAAATTGTTCATTCGAATGGTTCTTCAAGTAAGCTGAAATCTTTGCCATTTCAGCAAGATACGAAACTTTCAATCTCCAGTCTCCCATCGTAGGCAGAATTGGGCTCTTCCAATTTTGGGCTATTAGCAATCGGGCAGCAGATAAGCAATAAAGCATCAAATTTGTTTCTTTTGCATCTAAGTCTTGCACAATACCTAAAAGAAAGAATTGTGGAAGAAAAATAATCCTTTTTTTAAAAATCTGCTGTAGGTTCCACCATAATTGTACCCAAAAGGCCTTGATAACCTTACAAGTCCACCACATATGAAAAAAGGTTGCATCTGGATGACCACACCTCCAACACTTGGATTCATAATTCGAATAGATACGAGACAAAGTTGAGGGATCCAAGTGCCATCTATAAAACATCTTATAAAAATTTTCACGTAAATTTTGAGCTTGTGTAAACTTCACATTTCTCACCCAGATCAACTCCCAAGTGTCCATAGGTATTGTTTCTCCTATATTTTGAGCCCATTTAATCATACAGTCTTTAACTAGTTCAGTTTCTGAGTCCAATTCTAATAAAACGTTA